AAAATCTGAATTGAGTCAGGCTTCTGATTCTAACTTTTTAAAAATTAGGATATCAATTTTATGGAAAAAAAAAGAGGTAGAGGAACACATTAAACAACATATGGAGATACAATAAAAAATGTCCAGACTATAAGGAACTCTACAGGACAAACAGCCCATTTGCATCAACAAGTAAAAAATAAAAAGACAAGATCGAGGAAGAGGGAAAGCTAGAGATTAGAACAGATTTTAGGAGATTCATCAACCAATTGCAATGCATGAACCTTTTTTGGATCTCAATTCAAACAAACTGTAAAATACATTATATCTTATATCGCATCTATGAGTCATTTAGAAATTTGAGCATTACTGAAGATTTTTTTATAAAGTATACTTCAATACTTTTAGGTGTGATAATGGTATTCATGTTTTTTTAAAAAAGAGTCTTTACCTTTTAGAGATAATACTAAAATATTTATGGATGAAACAATATAATGTCTGGATTTGCTGTGAAACAGTCTGTGAAATGTGACAAGTGGTTGGGGGTAGAGATGAAACAAGATTGACCATTAATTGATAATTGGTGACACTGGTCACAGGTATATGGTGGAGCCTTATACTATTTGGAGAACATAATATAAAATTGAAAAAAATGGCAGAACTATGATTCCACCACAGATTGAATATTTTGATGGTATGACATAAGGAAAGAGTTTTGGCTGAGTTTATAAAGAACTACTGGCTTCCTGTTCAGGGGTCAATTTATATAGTCAGTCTGGGCTGGATTAAGATTCTGACATGAGGGCTAAGCTAATGGATTTTTGTGTGTGTGTGTGACAGGCAGGAAAAAATGTGATTTAGGATGGTGTTTCTGCAAATTGCAATTTAAAAGAAAAAAGGAAACACAGGGGCTTTTATATTGCTATTTTCTTTAAAAAAAAAAAGGGAGAAAGATTTAAATTTTCATCTTATTCAGAGACAATTTACTCAATGTCAATCAGCATGAGCAGCCACACTGAGCATCACGGTATTATTTTCGCTTCAGGGAAAAGAGAAAAAGAGTAATGCCACTCAAATAAGTTACAGCAGAAATTTGTGAATGACAAGGAGCTCTGCTTCAATTTCAGATTTTTAGACATCCAAATATGCCTCAAGGTAGATAACATTAAAAACCAAGAATTTTGTCTACTCAAAATGTATTAATTTATTTTGACAGGTATAGACATTCTTAACAAAATTCCAAAGTATATTAGAAATGATACCTGAGCCTTTTTTTTTTTTCAGTAAAAGTGTGACATGGAACTTTACTAGTCTCTGCATTTTAATAATATTCATGGATCTGTAGAATGAGAAGGCTGTTAAGATTGAGTGAACTGGGGTGTTTCTTGTTTAGAACTATGCAAAGTTACCTGTTTCTATACAAATTTCCTAAACTGATGCTTACACACAAAAAATCTAATTTGTCTTAACTCCCCCTTGCATACATCTTTAAAAAGTACAGCTTTAAAAACACTGTATATATAAAATATATAAACTATATATAGAGCATTTTAAGTTTATAGGACAACTGAGTGGAAAGTACAGACTTTCCTTATGCCCCTCGTTCCCACATATACAAAACCTCCCCCACTATTGACATCCCATACCTCAATGGTGTATTTGTTAAAATTGATGAATCTGTGCTGACACATTATTATCACCCAAAGGTTTAAATTAGGGTTCACTCTTGGTGTTGAACATTCTATGGGTTTGGATCAAGGTATAATGAAATATCCACCATTGTAGTATCATATAGAATAGTTTCACTGCCTGAAAAATCCTCTGTGCTCGGACTGTTCATCTGCCACTCCTCACTAACCTGTCAACCACTGATCTTATTGCCCCATAGTTTTGCCTTTTCCAGAAAGTCATGTGGTTGAAATCAAACAGCATGTACACTTTTCAGATTGGCTTCTCTCACTCAGTAATGTGCACTTAAGTTTCCTCCATGTCTTTTCATGGTTTGATAGCTTATTTCTTTTTAGCATTGAATAATATTCCATAGTCTGGATGTACCACAGTTTATTTATCCATTCACCTATTGAAAGACATCTTGATTGCTTACCATTTTTGGCTCTTATGAAGAAAGTTTCTATACAAATCCAAGTATGGGTTTCTGTGTGAACGTGTTTCTAATTCATTTGGGTAAATACCAAGGAGTGTGATCATTGGATTGTATGGCAAGAGGATGCTTACTTTTGTATATATCTCCAAATTGTCTTCGAAAATGGCTGTACCATTTTGCATCCCCGCCAGCGGTGTACGAGGTATTTCTGTTGCTCGACATCCTAGTCAGCATTTGGTGTCAGTGTTTTGGATTTTGGTCATTCTAATAGGTGTGTAGTGATATCTCATTGTTGTATTGATTTGCAATCTCTTCATGGCATATGATCTTGAACATATTTTCATATGCTTACTTGCTATCTATCTTCTTTGTTTAAGGTCTTTTGTCTTTTTTTAAATTGGATTCTTCATTTTCTTGTTGAGTTTTAAGAGTTCTTTGTATATTTAGGATAACGGCCTTTTTTTTTTTTTTTTTTTTTTTTTTTTTAGCTGAGCCATCCTGCCACTTGTTGGCAGCTCAGCGGCTGCTCAGCTAGGGCCGGGACTCGAACTGCTGTTGCTCAAAGCTCAAACTCTTGAGCAAGCTCTTAACCAACTGAGCCACTCGGCCGGCCCAGGATAAATGTCTTTTATCGCATGTGGTTTTGGCAAATATTTTCTCCTAGTTTGTGGTTTGTCTTCTCATTCTCACGACACCATTTTTCTAAGAGCAGGATTTTTAGTTTTACTGAGGTCTAGCTCATCAATTGTTTCTTTCATGGATTGTGCCTTTTGTGTTGTATCCAAAAAGTCCTTGCCATATCCAAGGTCATCTAGGTTTTTTATTATGTTTTTCTCTGGGAGTGTTGTAGCTTTGCATTTTATATTTAGGCCTATGACTCACTTTAATTCTTGTGACGGGTGTAAGGTTTGAGTTCTACATGATATTCCTTTATTATTCTTTCAGTGTCCATGGGATCTGTAGTGATGTGCCTTCTTTCATTTATAATTTTAATAATTTGTGTCTTCTCTCTTTTTCCTTAGTGAGCCTGGCTAGAGGCTTATTGATTTCATTAATATTTTCAATGAATCAGTTTTTGGTTTTATTGGTTTTCTTTATTGACTTGCAAGTTTCAGTTTCATTAACGTCAGCTCTAATTCTTGTTTTTTCTTTTCATCTGCTTACTATGAATTTAATTTACTCTTCTTTTTCTATTTCCTATAGTGGAAGCTTAGATTATTGCTTTTAGATACTTTTTTTCTAATACATGCACTCAATGCTACAAGTTTCCCTCTAAGCACTGCTTTCCCTGCATCTCACAAATTTTGATAAATTGTATTTTTTTTAATTTTCATTTAGTTTAACATATTTTAAAATTTACTTTGAGATTTCTTTTCTGACCTATATGTTATTTAGAAGTTATTGTTTAATATCCAAGTATTTTGGGATTTTCCAGCTATCTTTTTTGTTATTGATTTCTAGTTTAATTCCACTGTGGCCTGAGCAGATGGTATGATTTCTATTTTTTTTAATTTGGGAAAGTGTGTTTTATGGCTCAGAATGTGGTCTATCTTGGTGAATGTTCCACATAGCTTGAGAAAAATGTGTAATTTGCTGTTGTTGGATGAAATATATATATGTCAATTATATCCAGTTCATTGATGGTGCTGTTGAGTTCAACATTATCCTTACTAATTTTCTGCCTCCTGGATCTGTCCACTTCTGGTAGAGAAGAGTTAAAATCTCCAACTATAATAGTAGATTCATCTATTTCTCCTTGCAGTTCTATCAGTTTTTCCCTCATGTATTTGACACTAACTGTTGTTAGGCCCATACACATTAAGGACTGTTGTGTCTTAGAGTACTGACTCTTTTATCATTATGTAATATCCCTTTTTATCCCTGAAAAGTCTCCTTGTTCTGAAGTCTGTTCTTTCTGAAATTAATATAACTATTCCTATTTTCTTTTAATTAATGTTACTGTGGTATATTTTTCTCCAACATATAGCTAGGTCTTGTTTTTTTATCCTCTTTGACAATCTCTGTCTTATAATTAGTACAATTAGTCTTTTGACTAATTGTTATATGTTTGATATATGATAACAGTTATTATCATATAATAATATTTATCTTTCCTCAGGGAAGTACCTGAGGTCTCTAATCCATTTTCTCCAGATAAAAATTTAGCAGTAACCTGCTGCCTATCATCTGTTGGAGTAGCCCTGATTGAGATTCACAGGCAAGAATGGGACCAAGGCATTCAAACAGAAATTCATGTTGAGGCAAACAAAGGGGTGTTGGGTTTAGATTGGTGACTTAAGCTTAATATAAGGGCTTAAAACTTAATACAGGGGCTGGTTCTAGTGTAGGTTGTGGCTAAAGCCATTAGCTTCTCTGGAACTGGCTAACCTGGCACAGTTTCATGCTTTGGGATCCAGAGCTGAGCACATGAGGGTGAACTAACAGAGGTGTGACTCTGGAATCCTGCTAAGGTACCACAAAAGTCCATGGAGGAGAGGGACTAATAAGAATGTTACCTAAGCAAGGGCTCAACATTCCTTAGCAAAGATACATGGCAATGACTGTGAACTGATTAGATGTGCCCTTTCACGGTGAAATATTGCAAACTATTCTGGACTAAGTCCCTGGGATTCTTGGAAAGAATTTAGGAGGGAGAACGTAGACTCGCGTGAATAAAGGCATGTGTGGTCTTGAGCAATGGATTTATGCCTTGAACATGTCACATGACTCATATGCATTACATGTAAAAAAATGACCAGCCATGTGTCATCCCCTGAATACCTGTGGTAATTGTTTTAGTTGATTTAGGCATTAAGGAAACATTAAGGAATAATTGAAGGAGGTAGACCAAGGGGTGGAGGGAATTTGGGGCAAAAAAACAGGAGGGAGAAATGGTGTCACCGTCCCCTCTACTCACGGGGCTGATGTGCATTCCAGTGTGTGTACTGCACTGGCCCAGATGTCTGCCCTGCTGTCCTCCAAGTATATTCTCCTGTGTCATTTTGGTCTTGAAGAGCTATCCAAAAATAGCTGTCCTTCATTTTTACCACACTACTGATCAAACTGGTAATAAACGCCTGTTCAAACCTTAAGAAGGAAAAAAGGAAATTGTTATAGTAAGGTTCTGGGCAATAAAGAAAAAAATCATTAAAACATAATAAGGCATATAGAATGGCACCAAAATAAACATTGGTCATGAATTCTTCAGAACATGGAGCAGAAAAATACCTGAGGACCCTAATATGTTACTAATAAATGCCAAATGTCGGTGCAATTCACAGAAAACATGAGCGAGAAGAATTTGACTCTTACAGGCAGGGCTTAATTCTCTCAAGGCATAGAGTCCAGCTCCAGTTTCCAAGTGTAGGTGGTCAAGTCCACAAAGCCAGCAATAATACATTTCTTGGCACAACATGTGCCCTATGTTGTAACTAGGCCACACAGCACATACCATGCCATAATGTGCATGAAGTGAGGGGTTGGCAGGGGGGAGATGGAAGGATATTATGTTTTTCTGAATGAATAGCTGCCAATCAAGTTCACATGCACCCACCCACCCACACCACTTGCTTGGTGAGAATGGAACAGAGATTGGAGTGGCAACTTTATATCTCCCAAATCAATTTGTCCACCGGCACATGGAGTCCTTGGCTTATTCAAATGTGTTTAGATACACACATTCACTGAAGAGAAATTTCAAACCCTAGAAACAAATGCAAGAAAGTACATCCAGTAATATTTTCCCCAAACAGCTGAATGAGTTCATGTTCATTGATTTGTGGCAATGGTCCGTTCCCAGCACAAATGCATCAAAAGCAGAATCTAGAAAACTTGTAAATAGGCTTTCACATAAGAACCTAAAAGAGAAATGTATCAAAATGTAAGTAGCATTGAAACGTTAAGCTAAGTTGGAAACTGTCTTGAAAAATTTAGTTTCAAAACATACAAAGTTTTCATTCAATTTTGGATTCTTTCATTACCATGCATCCTTAACTTACAAAGGGAAGCAAAAGCATTGGGGTCATTCAAGAATAGAAAAGGCTCAGAAGAAATAGGGAGGGAAAGAGAGATGAACACAAAGGAGTAACATTTTAAACTGCCTTTGAACATCACTAGCAACAGTTGGTGGTCTTAGCCATCCATGATACTCATCTTGGCAGAGCGTATGGATTTTCATCATGCTTTAGTAAATGTTTTCTGCAGGTACTCTATTAATAATCTGATTAGCACACATTTGAATTTAGAAAAGTTCTCTTTTAACCAGGTTGCAGTGACAGAACCTATGTAAATGTACTTCAAAAGGAAGGTATATAAAGCTAAACATTGTCTAGATGCTGTTGTAATTTTCCTGACACTTCCATTGATTCATGCTCTCATAAAAGAACCTGCTTTTCCTCCTCCCCTCTGAGGCAGAGTAACACGTTATTGTGCCCAGTTGGTGCCTGAAGCTGCTGTGCTAGGAGGCCAGCAAGGCACTCCATCATGGAGGCTAAGGCCAGGACCACCATTCACTGTGCTGGTTCTACACCCAGGTGGCATTGCTGGTTCTTCCATTACCTTGTACTATGGCATTTGTCAGATAATAGAGAGGAATAACGTTGTCTGTGAACTTGGCCTCTGGTATCATTATTCATGACAACATTTTGCTTTTGTCATTTGTTGGTTTCGGATTTAGTCCATTCTGATTTATTTTCTCTCTATTTAGCATTTATGTTTAAAACAATAGAAACCTTCTGCTTTTTAATTGTCAAGTATATTTTTTAAGTAGTTGCATATAATACTCACACCTAAAATCCTAAAACCTTCCAATCAAAACAGGACTCTAGTTTTCTTGGTCCAGTTTAGAAGATAGCATTGTTAATAAAAAAAATTCAGCAAATATATCCTTCTTGTAAACCACGTATTCTAAGAAATTAACTCTGGATAACAGCATGCAATCTCTTGAATATCTGTTTCCAATGGATAAAGAAACAAGAGGACATTTTATATTCTATACCACTCTATTTGATTTCAAACACTAAAAAGCTGTGAAACTCTGGCTTACAGTAATAGAGCAGATGACCTTCTAAAGTCTTTACTGGCCTTTTGTTTTAGAATTCTTCATTTGAGAATACTCCAGAGTTTTACAACATCTGGACTTTTTGTCTGTTTTCACTGAGATCGTTTAATTTAAATGTTATGATTTAAAGAGCAAAATATAACCATATGTATATGTTTTTATATTATTATTTTAACCAGGATAAAATGTTATCTCTAAGGAATTCAGTAAACATTTTTTGTTATTCTTTAGAAAAGCAAATGATAACATATTTTGTTGTGTGTACCTCTTTATAAAATCAAATTTTGTAGGGGAATAATTCTTAGAATCAGAAAGAAATTAAATTTTCTAGTCAACTCCTTGACAAAATTAAGAAATAAAATATGCGTTTTTAGTGTAAGACAGAAAAATATATCTTAAACTTCCATCAGTTTGATAAGAAAGTGTTGCTCATAGTGCTAAACATGACATTTTAATTTAAAAATGCAATTTGAAGGTAACAATACATATTTTTGGCAAACATTGACAATTTTATTTATTACAAATTAACATTTTGCTTTTCAAAAGTGTATTCTTCAAAGGAGGTATTTTATACTTAAATCTCTAATGGAACATTATATTTTTTCATCAGTTTAGCCATATGTAGCTGGAAAAAGATGCTTTTTGTCTGTGAACAACATAGAATTTAGCAGACAGCAGTACTATAATCATTGCGCTTATATTACCTAAAACAAGAGAATGAAAAAAGTAATGCATTGGAAGTAGCTTCCCTAGAGAGCTGTTGCAACTAAAAACAAAGCAAACAAAACAAAAAACCACAGTGGCAGCCTTTATATATAATGATCCTGTTAGAATGGACTTGGTTTTGAAATGAGTAATTGCAATTGGATTTATCCTAGTAACACAACCGTTAACATTTTTTATGCCATTTTTAAATAAATGACTCGATTGCTAAACTAATATAAAAATGATAGATTTTCCTCTTTCTTTTAAATAAAGAATGGAAAGAGAATATCAGTGGTTTTAAAATGGGAGACACATCATGATCATTATTGCAAGAAGTTTCTGGTGGTATTCCTAAAGGGCTAGAAAGGTTACGTTTTTGGATATTGTTTCTTGCAAAAGACTGGAAGAGAAATATAGCCTTAGAAAATATACTTAATATACGCACAAAAACTAAACCGAGAGGAGCAAATATCAAACTTCTAATGGCAGTTACCTTTGGGAAGCAGAGTGGGATTGGTTGGGAAGGAGAAAGAGTCTGGGTGAAGGTACACTTTCACTTTTTAGTCTACATTCTCCTGGCTTGCTTGAACTGGTGCCAATAAAAATGTTTTTATTGTATAATTTTTAAAAGGGTAATTAAAATGTGTTTTTAAAAAGAAGGTTAACTGCATTCTACAAAAAAATAAAAACCTGTTAGAACTGACACATTCAGTAAAGTTGCAGTCAATAAACAAAAATCAGTTACATTTTTATATAAATACGAACAATGGACACCCTGAAAACGAAAATACAAAAACAACTCCATTTATAATAGCATCACAAAAAACAAAATACTTGGGAATAAATGTAACCAAGGAGGTGAAAAACTTGTACACTGAAAACTACAAAACACTGTATACTACAAAAGAAGACACAAGTAAATGGGAACACAGCCCATGTTCATGGGTTGAAAGACTTATTCTTAAAATATCCAAAGCAATCTACAGATTGAATGCAATCCTTATCAAAATTCCAATGACTTGTTTGTTAGTTTCTTTTTTGCAGAAGTGGAAAAATTCATCTTAAAGTTCACATAGAATAGCAAAAACAAAGATGAAAAAGAAAAACAAAGTTGGAGGACTAACACGTCCTGATTTCAAAACTTGCTAAAAAGTATAGTAATCAAAATGGTAAAGTACTGGCATAATGAAAGGCATGTAGAACAATGGAATAGAATAGAGAACCCAGAAATAAGTCCTTATATATATGGCTGAGTGATTTTTGACAAGGGTGCCAAGACCATGTAATGGGGACAGGACAGTATTTTCAACAATCATGCTGAGGAAACTGGATATCCACCTGCAAAAGAATGAAGTTGAACTCTCACCTTACACAATTTAAAAAAATTAATTCAAAGTGGACCAAAGCCCTAAATGTAAGAGCTAAAACTATAAAACTCTTCAAAGAAAACATAAGGGAAAAGTTTCATGACAATGAATTTGTCAATGATTTCTCGGATACGACACCAAAGGCGCAGGAAACAAATAAGAAATAGATAAATTGGACTTAATCAATACTAAAAACTTTTGCACATCAAAGGACACTATCAACAGAGTGTAAAGGGCAGCCCACAGAATAGGAAAACATATTTTACAAATTATGTCTCTGATGAGGGATTAATATTCATAATATTTAAAGAAATCCTACAACTCAGTAACAGAGTTACTGAGTTTTAACACTCCAATTAAAAATTGGACAAAGGAGGGGCTATCCAAGTGGCAGGTTGGTTAAGAGTTGGCTTGGAACGCCAGCTCTGAGCAGCAGGGCCCTGGTTGCTCCCACATGAGGGCCAGTGACGCTGTGCCCTCTACAGCTAAGATGGTGAACAACAGCTCGACCTGGAGCTGAACTGCCGTGAGTCGCCAGTGACAGCGTGGGCTACAGTGGAGCTGCAGTGAGCAGCCATAAGCTACCGCGAGTGGTTAGCAGCCAGCATGAGTGGCCAGCAGCCAGCGTGAGCTGCCAAGAGCTGTTGTGAGCGGCCGTCTAGTGGCCAACGACGATGTGCCTCACCCGGGAAGAGCGCAATGATAATACCAACATGGGCCGGTGAAGCGGCGTCCTCCACAACTAGACTGAAGAACAAAAGGACAGCAACTTGTTTGTTCCGATTCCCCAATGCTGTTCCCCTCCCCCAATTCCCCAATAAAATCTTAAAAAAAAAAAAAATGAGCATAGGACTTGAATAGAGATGTCTCCAAAGGAGATACACCGATGCCAATAAGAACATGAAAGATGCTCAATATCACTAATCATTAGGAAAATGCAAATCAAAATCACAATGAGATACCACTTCACACTCATTAAGATGGCTATTTTTTAAAAAACAACAATAACAAAACAAAACAAAACAAAACAAAAAAACAGAAAAGAACAAGTGTTGGCCAGGATGTGGAGGAATTGCAACCCTTGTGCAATGCTGGTGGGAATGTAAAATGATGGACCTGCTATGCAAACAACGTGGCTGTTCCTCAAAAAATTAAAAACAGATTTATCATATGATCCAAAAATTCCATTTCTGGGTATAGTACCCAAAAGAATTGAAAGCAGGGATTTGAAAGATCTGTACATTCACATTCATAGCAGCATTATTCACAATAGCCCAAAGGTGGAAGCATCTTATGTCTATTGATGAATGAATGGATACACAAAATGTGGTGTATGCATACTATTGAGTATTATTCAGCCTTAAAAGGGAAGGACGTTCTAACACATGCTACAAGATTGATGAACCTGGAGGACATTAGGCTAAGTGCAATAAGCCAGACACAAAAGGACAACTACTGTATGATTCCATTTATGAGGTAACTAGAGTAGTCAACCTCATAGAAATGGAAAGTTAGAATGGTGGTAGTCAGAGGCTGGGGGCAACAGGGAACAGGGAGTCACTGTTTAATGGGGACAGGGTTTGAGTTTGGGAAGATGAAGAGTTTTGGAGATGGGTGGTGCTGATGGTTGCACAACAATGTGAATGTACTTAATGCTACTGAACTATACACTAAAAAATTGTTAAAATGATAAATTTTATGTTATGATATTTTACCACAATAAAAAAGTTAACTACAAAATTGTTTGGGGGATATGGTGGCTGCAGGAAAATAACAGAGCTGACATATGTTTGAAAATCATGCACATTTAAACTGAGGATAAAATGAGATACTGCAGGATTTCTAGCTTTTGGAAAAATTTACAAAATTGAATGTCATTTGGATTATTTTGTACCACTATTCCATGGCTGATTGACTCAAGATTTAGATATACATGTATTTAGAGAATTATTCATGGTAACTTTGGAATTCAAGCTCCCCATTCATGCTGCCTGGAAGCAAACTGGCCAGGCCTGAAAAAAATTGGTAACAGTTAGCAAGCAAATAAAATTCTGTTATTCAGCAATAAGGGTTTGTTTTTCTTCCCTTCTTTATTCCACAAAGTGTTAAAAGTCCTAGACCGGGAGCAGTTACCAGATAACAAAAGAAATAAGTAATTTGTAGCAGGTGGTTCTAATTGTGCCTATCAAACCTGTCACTCAATTGTGCAGAAGAGTGGAAAATCAATTAGCAACTACAAGCTTGGGTCTTGGTGAGTGACAGGAGTGTCTTAACTCAAAAGGAAATCAGTAATGGAAGAAAATGATTACCAGGGCTGCTAGTGGACACTCCTGGGTCTGAGGAGACTTTCCACCTACGGCCCAACCTTCTCAGGCAAAAGATGGTGTGGGAAAATATTCAAAGATGTGTTGTCACTCAAAGAACAGTACAGTGTGGGTCTTTTTTTCTAAACTGTTGGGGTCTACATGAATAAGAATCAGGAGCACGGTGCTTTTTCTTCCCTCAACTTGTATGTCCCACGTAGGAGTCACTGCTTTCGATATAGACATATTTGCAGAACAGGGCATATGAACGTTACATGCCTGGGAAAGACGCCTCACTGGGGTGCGCATGTGGTATCCTGGGATCTTGGCTGGTGACCGAGTAACATGCCAGCACAAGGTCAGTTGGTGGGCCTGAGGCCTATGCTGGGACGAAAACAAACTTACCTATGCCACAGTTCTGCTTTAGAGTTGGCCCACACATTAGTATTGGCTACAGGATACAGTTTATCAAAGAAAAAATTTTAAGTATTCATACTCTTGTATCCAGTTTTAGAGGAAATGAAACAGAGCAGTTTTTTTCCAGACACTTTCTATCTTTTGCATGAGGTCCCCAAAGGGTACTTAGAAAATGAAGCATTTGAACTCCAACAGATTTCTGCCTTACCTTGGGTCACTTTGGCACTATGGGTTATCTGTAATTGTCACTTTGAGTTTATCCATGTATTGTGTTATTCTACTTTCTTTACTTGTTGCATTGTATCTATGTTCTATCTCTTTAGCTGCTGGCTGTAAGTGGCACCCGGAAGATTACCCTGTACCTTTTATTTCTTTTGTAACAGCATGCCAATATGGTGCTTCTCACAAAGTAGGTATTCAATAAATAATTTTCTAATAAACTCTTGACTATTAAGTTTTTGCATAGTCAGACAACATATGAAAAGTAATTAACACGATACCAGGTATGTGACCCTCAATGAATATTGAGAGAGAAAGAGAATGAGAGAAAAGAAAGAATAAGGCATAAAAAACAAGTGAAAAAGACTTATTTTCTTCAGTGAAAATCATAGTTAAATTATAATTAACAAAAGAGCATAGTTTCATCCGTTAGGCTACTGAATAAAGTCCTATGTTGACTCACTGACTGGAGGACTTCCAACCCGATATGCTATTGAAACCTTTTGGGTGGATTAACAAATTGAGGATAAAGGCTTTCCTCCCTCTATTTCCCCCAGCTATGCTGGGGAGGAGAAGGTAGAACTAAAAGCAACACTGAACTACATCAAAGGTAGCGTTATACCCTGAAGGAAGGGACTCCTGAGTGTAGGACGTTTTGCCAGACAATTTATTTTACCAAATGCTGTCAATCTGTTCATGTGTGCGCGCACGCGCACATACATGGATGCATTCTTGTGTAATGTTTGGAGAAAAGACTGGGAAAGAAGGTAAAAAGACAAAAAGGTAAGAGGAGGAAAGAAATGCCAGTGGCTTTGAATGTTGGTTCCTTTTGTGGGGAGAGCAGAGAAAGCACACAGACATTCCCCCTGTAGGCTAGACCTACATGTGAAGGGTCTCTAGATGAAACCATAACACCAGTTGTTCTGTTTCCTGATATTTTAAAGGCAATGGCCCCGGTACAAAAGCAAGTGACTTGCTTTGCAAGTATAGTTGTCCCATGGAACTCCTAAAGAGTTCTACCTTGCTTCTTTCTGTCTTCTGCAGGGAGGAGCTGATCTCCCAGCCCTGACAGTCCTCCTGATATTGATAGTGACACTGAGGTCACTTTTGCCTATAAAGCATTAATCCCCTATTATACATCTGTAACATGCTGCGAATCGTATGGAGTGTCAAAAGGACACAGTTTCTCTGTGGCACTGAGAAGACCCCTATGCACAGAGAAGTCTGACTCTAAATAAACACAGACCTGAGAAGCAATGGGGAAGCATTTGAATACCCTCCACAGCTCAGTTATACTTACTTTTGTTCTAAAAAAAAAAAAAATCCCACATGACTCACACACATTAAATTAAAAACATATTAATTGTTAAATAACATATTTCTTTTCTATTATAAACACTTGAAAGATAAAATCTAATACAATGGAATATACTAGCAAAGCTTGATAATGAATAAATGTTTATAGAAAGTAAAAGTCATCCTAAACTTTATTATTTGTTACACAAAAATCAATTTAGGAATAACAGTGCATGATTCTAATTCATCTCAATCAATACTTCAAATAATTTAATACTCTAGTGTACAGTACTTGTTACATTTTGACCAGCTACTGATTGTGGCAGGATTTTATCATTCCAAGAGCCCTCGTGTCAAAAGCACAGTGATATTTCTGATAGAAAATTTCTACTTTACCTGTTTGTAATGGTTACAAGTGCAGGGGGACAGTAATAACCACTGGAGGCATGGTCAAAGCTTCGCAGGATGGTGTCAATTTTATAGCAGAATCCGCCATGTCGCTCCCATCCCTTAAAAAAAGGAAAAAGAAAATTGAGGACATAATCTGATTTAGTTAAATAGCAAAAGATCTTTGTGTGTGTGTGTGTGTGTGTGTGTGTGTGTGTGTGTGTGTGTATTCTCATTTACCACTTACATTACTTTCTCCTCTGACCCATTCCAAACTCCAAACTTGAATTTTCCTTTGATGTCTTTATATTTATTCTATCTGGCAATGTCATTAACTACAGCCACTTCTAGATTTATTTAATTCTTGAAACCTAAACATTTCAATAAACTTAAAACCTTAAAAGCAAATGAAAATAAAGGGGCACTGTCTCAAAATCTCTCCTCTCTCTCTATCTCTCTCTCTCTCTCTCTCTCTCTCTCTCTCACACACACACACACACACACACACACACAGTTCAGACAGATAGAATTTTAGACAAATGGTTCCTACAGACTGGTAGAAATGAAAGAGTGTTGGCTTTGAAGACAGAATGCATGGATTTTGAATCCTGGCTCCATCCCCGGGTGGCCTTATTTAATATCTCCATGTCTTAGTTTACTCCCCTGTAAAATGGGGTAATAATAGTATCCATGGGGCTGTGGTGAGACTCAAGGGAGACAATGCAGGCAGAGACCTTAGAATAGAGACAGGAACTTAGCATGAACAAAGAGAACATATGTATCTAGAGCATAGTGTATATTTCTTTCATATTGATTATTTCATGTTATCCCACTGAGATACACTGAGGTTAGTGGCTTAGATACATCACAGACTAGTGGATAAGCTGACCTGGAACCCAATTCTGGTGCAATCCAGGATGGTCTTGGCTGGATCATAATGCATCCAAATAGAGATTGGCCAAAATATGTATTTTTTGATAAACAGTATTCCTAAATCAACTGGATAACCTTTTAGAGAAAAAGAAAGGAAGCTTTGGCACTACGACAAAAAATGACAAATGTGTGGTCCATGGCTCAGCCCTGGGAGCAATGAAGGGTGGCTCTATTCTTCAAAATCATAGACTATAGGACACATGCATTCATCAGTCTTCCATATTTCAATTGAGTTATTTTAGTTATTTTTCTTTCAATATTGTAAAATCACATCACTTATACCTATTTTCACATATTCACCGGTGTTAAAATACACTTCATTTTTGTATCGTGCCATGGTTTGCCAGAATTTGACCAGCTATAAAATGATTTCTGCTATATTTCTTGGAAAAGGTCTCTATCTTGCAGTAAATTAAAGAAAACCTAATTTTAGAAATTAGCTATTTTAGCTCAAAACATATTATTAAATGAGGTGTGGATCACAGGAGTTCCACATCCAACCAGCCAGTATGTGCTCTGAAATCAGTCCCTTAACCTTTCCCCCCAACCTGATCTGTGTGAGTAACTGACAGCTCCAACCAGAGCCCCTCCGTGCATCACTGCAGATGGGGCAGGGAGGTTAGACTGCTTTTGTATTTGGAAGGACAGGTGGAGGAAGCCTGACAATGTGAACTTTCTGACAAAGTATTCTTTCTTCATTAGTAATTTTTAGATCACAGGCCTCTTAGCAAAACCAAAAAAGTCCAAGAACTGAACAGTCTAAAAAATGTGAGCTAGTAATAACCAGAAAAACAAAGGCTCTTTGCTACAAGCCTTTGCCACATAATGAAAGTGGGAAGAATAATTGATGGTATCCATGAATATCCTTTGTAGCAGAGGTTCCGTTTCATTTTAAATGAAATGAGGTGATGATGACAACACTAAAACAATTGCTTATATTGTGCAATCCCCAAAAAAGTGACTCAAGAGGGAAAAATACATCTCTTTTCTTTGGCATGGAAATGATTGAGACTTATTGTATAAATTGACTTTGTATGTGCAGACTGTTCAGAGAATTATATTGAAGCAACTGGCTAAAAGAAAGGAACTTTTTGAAACCATACTTATAGACTGATGCATGAAGAAATTAATGGGAATTTCACCATAAAGTTAGAGAACTGGGTCTGACCTCAGAATGAAATACTGTACTGCTGGCCAGAAAAAGGAAGCAGTGAACAAAACTTTGAATAAAGCATCAGTTTTATTTCTGCTATGTAAGAAGTGAATTGCCCTCTCAACACAAAATATGTTGAGTTGCTTTGAAAGCCACAGTAAGAAGTTTTTTTTCAATATTTCTGTTCAGACAGAGATTAGATCAGTGATCAGCTATAACTAATTCAGGAATTGTAATCAGTAGATAAAATGTTTAGTAACATGTCAGCTGTCACCATGTGTATTGTTAAGCTAGAGTATGAAGAGTAGTTCACATGTTTACACATTGATTAATGAATAAAATGTAGTTTCTGAAGAGATGGGTTATTGTTTAATTAGAACATAAATAATTGGATTAGAAGAGAAAATAATTAAAGCAGAACTGCATAAAAACTGGTCTGAAAAAAATGTGTGTGTGTGTGTGTGTGTGTGTGTAAAAGAAAGAGAGAGAGAGAGAGAGAGAGAGAGAGAGAGAGACAGAGAGAGACAGAGAGAGACAGAGAGAGAGGAGGCATGTGTCAAGAACACTAATAGGTAGATTTTTTGGGTAACTTTACTGTAGGATATAAGTGTATTTTAAGAAATTTAAAACATAATTTTCTACCTTGTAAGTTTAAACCTAAAATATTAAGTATTTTTTATTACTTAATGTATTGAAAATGCTTTATTACTTAAAATACTACAGTATTTTTTACTATATCTTTCCCAAATAATAAATATTTTGCAAACATGCACTTCTCTCCATTACTGTAGTCTATTCAAATTATTTAAGTGTAAGAAACGTGAACAGGAAAGCAAGACTTTTGGGGGCAGAAATTCACTCTCTGACTCAAAGGAATGCACCGTTTTCACTCTGACATCCCCCTGGAAGACGGTGAAAACCACAAGTGAGAAGGGCATTGCATGACAGCCAGTGTTTGTACAGATGGTATGATAGTATCGTTTACATTTTTCTTTTTTTTTAACGTCAAAAGAAAATTAGTCTTAGGTCAAAGAGGATGGAAAGACAGTCTTTGCAGAGTTGTAAACCTTTCATGTGCCTCTAGCTGATAAGTGTTTGGTTTGTTAAAAGTATTCCACACTCAGAAAAAAGGGAGGGTGGAAGGAGAGAAAGAAGGGAGGTAGGGAGGGAGAAAGTTTCATTTTAAGTTGACGGTGGATAAATTGTTTTAGTTATGAAGCCCCTGCCCCCAAATCACAAGGTTAACAGCACTTACCTCCTGACAGCCTGAGTCGGTGTTGGAAAGGACGTGGCCTGCTTTCTTACACATGTAAAACAGGGTTTCTTCACAATTTCTCACTTTCCAGTGTCCCTCCTAAGGGGAAAGATAATACAAGATGAATAACTACATTCCATTAGTGATGCTGATAGGCAGCACCAATTATTTTAAATAAAAATATGATTAATAATCAGTGTTTCAGGATGGAGTAACATGTTAGGACCCGTGTTGTCATTCAAAAGGGTTGATTCTCCCTCTGCCTCGGAGGAGGAGGCCCTGCTCTCTCTCCAACATGTAAATGATTCCAAGATGTGCAATCCTGGATTGGTGGGCAGGAGGGGAGCAGCCACGAGTATTTCTTGCTGTGTTGAGGCTTAATGTTGAGTAACTTTTATATTATCTCAGCATTCCTGTGGGGTAGGCAGTATTCCTCCCATTTTAAAGGTGAGTTTTAATAGTTTGCAGTCGGTAAAAATCGGAGCTAAGATTTAGTACCAGGCTTAGCTGGCTTTCCATGAAGCTGCTCTCAATTTTTCTTTTGAAAAAAGATGGGTTAGAGCACTGATTCTCAATCCTTAGTGTGCACCAGAACCACCTGAGGGGTTACTAAAAACCCAGATGACTGGGCCCCATGATCAGGGAGTGCTGCATTCAGTAAGCCAGGCGGGACCTGACAATTCACATTTCTATCAAGTTTTCAGCTGAAGTTGATGCTGCTGGTCTGGGGCCAACCACTTGGATGAAACCATTTCACAGAACTAGACAGAATGTTGCTTCTGCTCTTCAAGCACTTCTAAGTGTGAGGTACAACTTGCTAATAGGTTAAAATTTTATCCTGCTTTCCAAATAATTTTTTATTTTAGCACAAATCAGGCCATTAGGCTGAAAGCACACAATTCAAAGTTTTAGGTGGTTTCTCAGGCATGTAGGCTTTTAGGGGAATACGGAGCCCTCCCATGACCCACAGAAACTTACTATGCAGGAAGCCGACACCGCCACCTGTAAGAGTCGCCCTGTACCCCCACTCCCTCCCCCCACGGAGTCTTCAGTTACAGAATAGTGTCAGGTGCATGGTAGTTGCTTAATAACTATTGGATGGATGGATGAATGGATGAATAACGAGTTTCCTAGGTTCTCACATTCAAATTTAGGCTTCAACCATGCTTCGATAACTTGTTAATTATAATAATTATATTCAATTGAGTTCTATGTCATGGGAATAAATGTTACTTTTTATACATCTACTATTTAAGGAGCTACTGAGCTGCCGCCATACAGGGCGCCACAATATATCACACAGCAGCACTGTCCTGACATATCCAATAATATTAATCCCTATCCTTAGTCTCGTAGAAATAATTTCTCTATCCGAATGTTGGCTCCTGTTTTGAGAACATGCTAAGCGAAATACCCATGTCTGTGAACTAAAACAGGAGAATGTCAGTGGAAAATCAAGGTCAACTTAAATATATCAAAACTAACAAACCAACAAGGCATCAAACATTGTAGAGGAAATTGTGGCGGCTTTCAGCAGAGTTAGACCCAAGACAAACATTTAGAGAGATCATTGTTTGTCCTGCCTCAAATGTGACCCTGAGACACTGCCTTAGCACTATAATTGTAACTGCTCATATCAGTGACCACCTTAAAAGATAAAACAATAAAAATGCCATAAAAGTAAGTGCTTGGGAATTTTCCACGTTTAGTTGGCACAATTACTTTGTCAAGCTACTTAAGGAACATGAATAAACCGCTTCTTGGAGGAACTTGATATGTTATCCTGGTGGTTTGAAAGTGTGAGCACACCCTCCCAACCCCAATAACCACCTAAAACTCAGACAGTGAGTTCAACAGCTATCTGATCAAAGAGAGTAAATCTATTCTAAACATGTAGTAAACCCTTCAAATGGCTGGGGATTAAACTAATTCTGTATAATCAGATGTTGTAGGTAAATGAGAAATTAGGGCACAGGGATAAGTGTGATGTGAAGGCCACGGGGGCCCTTGCATTCATGTGAGGAAGAGCGCAATCTCCCATTGATTCACAATTTTCCAAAAGGTTACACATACTATTGACATCCTTTTATGTTAATAAGATAAAGGAGCTTAAACCTCATCACTCTCCAGAGTAATCTCCCAACACCTCAGTTCTTCCCCTCATCTTCACCATGGTGGACAATGGCACCACCATGCACCAAAATGGTAGTTCCTCAAGCCGAACACCTACCTCTCTCTAACCCCCACATCTCAGTTAGCAATAATTCCTGTCTTCCAGAGGATCCTAAATGTGCCTAGTCGTCTCTACATTTACTGCCCTAATTCACCCACTGGCGTGGCCTCCAAATAGGTTTCTTGGCTTCCAATTTATCCTTCTCCAATCTATTCTCTATGTAGCAGCCAGAGTTACTTTTAATAATGTAAATCAGGCCATGCCCTTGGTTTCCTTGAGGCTTGTTAGTGGTTCCTATTCAGGATGCATAAGCCTCACATGTTTGCATTCCTCCTGCCATCCCCTCACTATTCACAGCTTCTCACCACACTGGTCTTTTTGGGATCATCAAACATGGCAAAGGTTGGCCTGCCTCTGGGCTTTTGCACTAACTGTCCCTGCCTCGGATGTTCTTCCCCCTGTTCTTCAAGAGCTTTTTTTTTCTTCTTTTCTTTAAGCCCCAGCTTAAATGTCACCTCTTCAGACAGCCTTCCTTGACTGTCCTATCTGAAGTAGCTGCCGCATCCCAAGGTTCTCACCGTCCTGTCACCTGTTTCCTCAGCGCTATCCTGACAACTATATATAATTACCCCACTTTTTCTGAGGGTGCGTGCTGACAGCCTAGCATGGAAGCCCCGTGAGGAGCAAGGACTGTGTGTCGTGGTCCTTGCCACAGCCCAAGTCCCTGGTACAGGTGGCCCTCCATACAAGGCCAGCAAAGTGAGCACTGAACAAATAAATCAACTTACAGATTGCTCTGCTGAGACACATAGCTGGCTTCTATTTGGAAAAATGCGGGGCTCATGTGTGTGCCAATTAGTAAAGGTGACTGAAGAGCCGTTAGACCATTCAAAGGAAACTGGAATTTTATTGCTGCTCAAACCAATCCATGTTTCGGATGCATTTTCTGTAAGAGATAAATGTAAATTACTTACAGGAATCTTATTATATGTAAAGAAGATAATCACCGGCGCTATTACCAAAATACACCACTTGGTAAGTGATTTCTTCATATGATGAAACCTGCTTCAGTCTCAGTATGAAATACCTGCTTAAGCCTTTTCCTCCTATGCTGTCCTATCTGATCTGCTCCGTGCAGACCTTGTGAGGCAGAGCACGAGCTAAACCAATACAAGGCCCAAAGCTCCAAAGCAAGCGGGTTGCTGGGACTCTGCTACTGTATGGAAAGTAGATCTGAAAAACCTGGTTTTGTTTCTGCCTAAAAAGAAAAAAATAGGAAGATCTACTGCTTTAGGAAAAGAGTACACAAAAAAACCTTTTGAGGTTTGCTGGAAAAATGGCAGCTGTGAGGCGGGCTCCCTGAGTTCTCCCCTGGAAATCCACGCAATTTGAACTGCTGTAACTCATCAAACGAACCTCTACCCATTACACAGAGCAGCGAAGAGACTTGCGCACTGATTACTGGGAGGTGGGCAGACCGGGGGAGTGTGGGAAGAGGGAGGCAAGACCCCTGGAGAGGCAGCCGGCACCTGCGGCTGCTGAGACAAGGGGGCCTCAGAGAGCAGATCGGAGAGTGTTGTGCGGCCAGCCTAGAGAACAGCAAGAGCGCGACAGTTTGCAGTCTGCGGCAGAAGCCTCGGGCCAGGCGAGTGGGGAAGAGAGGAGACGTGCGTGCAGAGGCGCGGTCCGCACCTGTGGTTGTGGAGCCGTGGGACCCCAGGAGGCAGAGCAGAGAGCGTTGCAGCAGTAGGGTGGGCTCAGTCCCTGCACCCCTGGGGTTCCTCCCGAAGTGCAGCAGGAGCTGGGCTGGAGCATCTGAGGCAGAAGCCTCAGCTCAAAATGGCAGTGGGACTTTTTTGTTTTCTTTTTCTCAGAAAGAAAAACACAACTGCATAGATAAGAACCCACCCCACCCTCCCTCAGGAACCTTGACCCCTGCCATGCCAGAGCCTCAAGCTGACCCCTGAATGAAGGAGTAGCGTCAGATTACAGAGGTGCTCCTACTCCCAGGGGGTTGAGAAACTCCGCACAAGAAGAGGCTGCAGGAGTGCGAGCCTACCTATCCTGCCCCCACCTCCCCGGCATGGCCTGGGAGGCAGGGCAACTTCAGCTGCTGAGTCACTCACAGGCCCCCCAGCAGGTGGCTTTTAGCAGCTCTGAAATCTCAACCCCCCCCCACAGTATCCAGCGGAAAGAGTGCCCGAAAACGCACATCAACCCTTCTTTGTAAAAACTACCAATCACACCTCATAACCCCACTCATCTACAATAGACCTGCAATGCCAGGGTCACTCTAGGCGCCAGGTGGCAGGCTCTGCTCCCACAAGGCGCAGTTTTTGTATAGTAGAGTACAACCTGGGGAGAGCTTGGTGGACTTTAGCCAAGACTGGTACTGGTTGTTGTTGTTGTTGGGTTTTTTTTGGCGTGTTTTTGTTGTTGCTGCTGTTTTGGGATTTTTGGGTGTTTTGGTGGTTTTTTTTGGTTGCTTGTTTTGGTTGTTGTTGTTTTGTTTCTATTTCATTATTATCATTTTTAGTTTTTAATATAGACATATATAGGTATATATATATATATGTGGATATATATGTCCATGTATATGGGTGTGTAGGTATATATATATATTTTTTTTTTTTCTCTCTCTTTCTTTCCTTCATTCTGTTCTGCCCTCTCTCCCTTCTTTTCTTCTTTCTTGTTACTGCTCTATTTTTCCTCCTTCTTTCCATTTTTCTGCAATGTTTTTTTTTGGGGGGTGTGATGCTATTTTGTTTCTCATGTTTATTCTATTTTTTATTTTATTACATTTAATTTTATTTTGTTTTGTTTTTTTGTTCTTTGTTTTTTGTTGTTATTGTTTTATTTTTGTTTGTTTTCTCCTTTTGTATGCTTGATATTTCTGTACATGTTGAGTGTAGGTTGTTGGTTGTTTTTTACATGTGAGAGTATCTGGTTTCCTTTGGTGGCTGTTGTGGTTGTGCTTGTTGATCTGTTTTGCTCTGAATTCGCTCTGCAGCAGGGCCCAGCCAAAGAGGCACAAGAATCATCACACCTAGAGGCCAACTTTAGACCAAACCAGGGCATTATGAGGTTTGACCTACAAGAGTCACACCCAAAGGGAAATCGCTACAGGCACAAGAGCCCATAGGGGCCAAGCCTCATCGGAGGGGTCAACCCTCACACAGCAGCTTGTAAACTGTGAACACAGCTAATCCTCACAGCTGGTCAGCCTGGGAGTAAATCCCACCTACTGACAAGCCAAAAGTAATCAAAGCTCAACTTCAACAGGAGAAGACACACAACACAAGGAACACCTCTGGTACACACGCACAGGAGAATAGGGAGACTGAGCAATTCAAATATAAAGGACACATACCACATCAGTCCACCCAGAAAAGACTGAGACCTAGGGGATCTATCTAATACATCAAAGTAAACACAAAGAGTAAGCCAGAATGGGGAAACTAAGAAACACATCTCAAATAAAAGAACAGAAGAAATGTCCTGAATCAGCGGAACTAGAGGAAATAGAGGTAAACATCCTACAGGAGACAGAGTTCAGAACACTGATTATTAGAATGTTCAAGGAAATTAATGAGAATATAAAGAAAGATAGAGAAATCATGAAAAACAATGAGCTAGAACTAAAGAATACAATTACTGAATTAAATAACAAACTCGATGGAATTGCTAGCAGATTGGATGAAGTAGAGGATCAAATCAGTGACTTCGAAGAAAAGATAGCAGAGATCACCCAAGCGGAACAACAAAAAGAAAAAAAACATTGAAAATAGTTTAAGAGAGCTGGGCGACAACATCAAGCGCAACAACATGCGCATCACAGGAATACCAAAAGGAGAAGAGAAGGAGCAAGGGATCAAGAACATATTTGAAGTAATAATGTCTGAAAACTTCCCTAACCTGGCAAAGGAAATTGACATACAAGCACAGGAAATGCAGAGAGTTCCAACCAAGATGATCCCAAACAGGCCCACACCAAGACAC